TAAGCTTCATCACTATCATCAGTCTAGTCATAAAACCACGATTAGATTATGGACAGAATTTAATTCTTTAATTACTTGCAGAGCAGAACCTCTTTTCACCAAAAAAACAATTTTAGAGAAGAATTTTGAATTTATGAATGGTTTTACTTATGGATAATTTATGGATTTATGGAATATTTGTAGATGGTTTGATTTTGTTTGCACTGTTTCTCGGTTGGTCTAGCATTTGGTCTACATTAGTCTTTTTTCCAAGGAGGTACCACTTATTTAAAGTTTTTACACTGGTTCATTTTGAGCCAAGTTACCAACCCCCTGCCCTTTCAGGGTAGCATGAATGAACATTTAGGGGTTCACTTAGTTGCGCACCACTGGTGCAATCTTTTTATTGCCTTCAGGATATCTAAGAATTTGTTGTCAATTCTAGGGTCCAAAGCAGAATCCCACAGTTTTTTATAGATTGGCCACCATTTGAGAGGCCTTAGGGCAGGCAAGACCAAGACAGGTCCCCACCTGGCCAGTAGGACAGGTCCACCCACACCTCAGATCTCCATATGCACCAGTTCCCACCACGAAGTTGAGCACTTTCTAGTGAAACCAAAATAAGATGTCAGCCAATCATATTGCTGAAACTTAATTGTTACCTTTCAGTTTTCAACTGTTTGTTTGTTGCCTTTCCTATCTGTTTTCTTATTCCTAAAGCATTCCTACAAAAGTCTTTTTTAATATAAAAGTCTTTTGAGCTACCCATAAGGCCTTCTAGACATACCCATAAGGTCTTACAACACTAGCCCTCCTGCCCTGTTCAAAATACAATTTTATTTTATATATCAGTGTTGGCTTGTAGCCGCATCTTTGGTACTAGTCTAGTTCCATTTAATTTTGAAAGCTTTAAATATTTTTGTATTGTATGCAGGGGTGGCTTGGAGCAATATTAGATTGGTATTCAAGGGACTAACAATCTACTCGATAAAATGCCACACCCAAAAAAAATGAAATCCCCAAATGCCACACCTGTTTACATAGCCCTGCAAAAAGGATTTTCAAAATTGGCTTCCAAAATGATGTCTAAATAGTTTTGATAAATTATTTCACCTTGTCTACATTCCAACAAAAAACAGCAAAAAACCCAAAATGTTGTGGTATGCTTTAGATCATAATATATAAAAAGTTTTAGTTAAAAGGATTTATTTGCTAAATATCTCAGTTGTCCAGGATCAACTTGCAAGAAAACTAGGTCTTGTTTGTAATATGTACCCTCTGCTTGAAAACAAATGCTTTGTTGCACCCTTGATATACACATATAAAAAGTTATCATGCAGTTAAAACCAAAAGCCTTTCTATGAAGCCGCACCATATTCAAAAGTATTCAGTTTGGATTCTGAATAATGTAGTCACAAAGCTGTGACAGTTTGTGGACTGAGGCAATGGCCGAACAAGGCCATTAAAAATGAAAAAATAGCCAGATAAGGCCAGCATTTTATTCTGATTATCTATGTTGAACATACTTTGAAACTTGCAAATTTCCAAGCAGTATTAGGTTCCGAAAACACAAGCTACAAGGGGACATGTATGCTCAAGGTATTCAGAAAAGTTCTGAATACCTTCACTTTCAAATTCTCTTTTTAGCCCCTGGGGGGCTTAATGTTTTTCAGTTCAGCACTTTAAAAGGGGGGCTTATAAGAGAGGGGGGGGGGGTAAATTGAGAGAGGGGGCTTAATAAATATTTTTTAGTAAAAAATCATTTATAGCGGTAAACTAATTTTTTGTTATTTGCGAAATATAAAACATTAAATCAGCCTTCTATATCAATTATATTGTCATCATCATCAATTATTAATTCTAAAATATCTTCTTGGGCCATGTTGCCTTCTGAAATCGAGCATTTGAAAAGGTCGACTTCATCCCTTGGAGTACCAACGGCCTGTGGTTTTGGTAAAAGGCTCTCATATAGCCAGTGAGCATATTAAATATTTCTCTTTGGATCTGCTTGACTTGGACTGGAAGAGAAATGGTGTGATTTTTGACTTGATGTGAAAGTATTGAACGACCAATGAATAAAATGAAAATCTCTGTTTTTTGTCAAGTTTACTTATTTCAGCATCAATTAAAATTTGGGGGGGAGCTAAATTGAGAGGGTGGCTAAATTGAGGGGGGGGGCTAATTAAATCTTTCCTTCTGAAAAGGGGGCTAATAAATGAGAGAGGGCTTAATTGAGAGGGGGGACTAAAAAGAGAATTTACGGTATTTTTGTTTAGCCTCACAGTTATCTCCTGTGACTGATGTCAGGGTCAGTCACAAACAATGCAGGTGTATTTAGGATGGCCTTTAAATACCTTGTGAATGCTGGCTGCTGGCCTCATCAGAAAAAAAGGGATTAAGAAGTCTCTATACCCACCACCAAAACAATATCAAGGGTCATTGATTTTTTTAAAGAACCTTCACCCGTTTTGTAATGGTATTGTATGGGCAAAAATAAAATTTTATTTGGATTTTGATTTTGGGACATATTAAAAGGTTCTGCTGTATAACTCATGTGATATTTATCCAACTACTGTTCATTTTAGGAAATGCCCTTTTCCTCCGCCCTAAAAAAAGTCCTACAGAAAATTGGATAAGGTTAGGCCTACAGAAAAATATTCTTCGAGCCTAGCACTTACCTGTATTGCTGCTGTGGATGTATTTTTTACTGTAGTGCCTATAATCAGCACCCTGTTTGAACCAGTGCCCCTAGGATTTTCAGTAAATATATATGTGTTATTTGGCTCTTTTGCAAAAAAAACCTCAGACAAGTGTCCCAGTGTGGATCCAGTCGCCATAGTTTTAGTACCAGACAAAAACAGATATAGCAGATCGAAATTTGTTTTTGTGTATGGTTTGTGGTGGAAACCAAAGGCCAATCTCCTAAACAGGTTTTACATAGGACATTTTTACACATATGCATATCAAATTTTTATAATTTTCTCGTGTTGCCTTTCTTTCTAGATACTTTTTACAGTTTTGGCCAAGGTGTTTATGAGCTGAAAGAAGGACAAGTGATTGATCTTGTCTGCAAAGTGGTGAATCCAACTACAAAACCAAGTATTCCAATACTTGCTTGGCTTCCTGATCATGAATACGTGAAGAATTCCAGTTCATTGACTGTTCTTTTTAAAACTATAAATGGTAAGAAAACATTTGCACAGACAGGGAAGCAGTTATAAAATGGGAAGGTCACCCGATTTGAGGCTCAAATTTTTCAGTGTATCCTCATCCAGGGATATTTTCTAGCAAAATGTTCATTGACAATGTCACTTTACTCCTTTAGGATTTTTTTGACAAATTATTTATCAGGCTAAATACAAGTTAAATACAAATATTACATTAATAATCAGACAGCATTGTTCAATAGATGTATTCTTACAAATGAAAAAGTGTTCCTAAGGTGTTCCTTTGATACCCAATGTGTACTCCAGTCAAACTAATATACCGTAAATCCTCGAATTGGCCCTCCCCCTCGAAAAAGCCCCCTCGAAAAAACCCCCCTCGAAAAAACCCCCCTCGAATAAGCCCCCACCCTAGAGCTACAAATTGTCAATAAGCCCCCTCTCGAATAAGCCCCCACTACTACCGTAAATTCTCAAATTGGACCCCTCAATTTGATGATTTTTGCCATCTGAGGTCGCCTATGGCGTTTTATTGAATTACCACAACAAATTTATACTTTTGGTAGTTATTAATTAAATGCTCATCAAGAAGCCCCCATTCAAAAATATGAAAAGTAAATAAGCCCCCAGGGGGCTAATTCGAGGATTTACGGTAGGGTCTTCTTATTATCTCTATCTTTTTCTTGAAGAATATGTAAATTTTTTGAGAAGGTAAAGCGTAGAGTATAGATAAAGGAATCTTGCTCATTAATTTTCAATGGCCTTCTTATCATCCCAGGATAAGAAAAACCCACAAGCTTCCAAACAGTCTCTAATAAATATTGTTTGTTAGCCGAGATTTGAACGAAATAAATATTTGGACCAGTGCCAGAGATCTGATATGAAATTGTTAGTTGAAATTTGAAATTCATGTTTCCATGTCAATTCACAAGACTGCTATATACTAAAGCATGTACCACAGGTCTACTCGGCCTCAAACACTCTGAAACAGACTGTTTAATGTTATCTGAAATTGATTATAATTAATGTCAGATATGATAACATGTTAATCATAAAACAGAATACATGTGACCATGATAAACGTGAAACTGCGAGTTTTTACTTAAACTCTCCTGTTCTGCACTCTAAAACACGAAAAATCCGCCATTGTGTAGACAGAAGGAGTTCGTTTTCTCTCTTGGACTCCACTGGTTATTTGTTTATAGGTAAGCAGACTGATTGGACAACTATACCGGTCATGTGCTCGCATTTTTCTGATTGGCCTATTTCGATCCACAAATGTGTATATATTTTTCATCTTATTCTTTTGGACCCTTATTCTTACAATTCATACTCTGAAGAGTATCAGACAAGAATGGTTTAGTATGTTGTTTGTATAATGTTTGCTTTTTTAAAGCCAATTTTCAAATGTGGTACTGCCAAAAAATTGTTAATGTTGAGCTCTGTCCAATGCACTTCTACTAGCATTCGTTAACAGCCCGACTCTGTGACAGTGATCTTCACCAAGATTTGTAATATTTTTTGCTAGACACATTGATTCGAGGGAAACATTACCCCATGAACATCTCATACACCTTTAGTTGGGATCCTATTGTTTAATCCGAAAATTCTTGGAAATCCTTTTGTTTTCTTGGAAATCCTTTTGTTTTCTTGGAAATCTCGTATTCTTTTTGCAAGAGTTTCCCAAGAGCCCCTCGCATCGATTTTTTCAATAAATATTAAATATTGAACGAAATTAATGAATATTTTAACTAAATTCTCATTTAGTGACAACAATCCACGCAATTCTGAAGTTCAATCCAGTAAGCATGAGCGACATAAAGAAACACACCGCCATTTTTTGTGGAAAGGCCCTATTCACATCTGGTGCTAGCGTTAGCCTTTCTGTTTTACCAAGTAAGTTTGTTTTATTCAATTTTTATTCCTGAATGCAAAAATATTTATTCAGCTTTTCAAAAATGTAACATGAAGGTTTATTCGCGACAAAAATATTTTACATGGATATTTTACATTTTATATATAAAAATATGAAGGTTAGTAATTCATTAATTTGTGAAAGAAAGTAATGACAGCAAAAATTCTTACATCTTACTTCATACACAAAGAGGAATTTTTCCGGCACTGTAAGCAATTACTTTACTCCGAAATGTTGCTTTGATGAAATTTTTCTTATTTTATGTTTTACTTGTCGGTGATGTCAAAAAATATTTTTTTTAGAACTTTTATTGAAAATATATAATCCGAAAGAAAGTTTTGAAACAGTCCTAAATTTGAATGCGACAAAATTTGAGAAAGACAGTTTCTTCCTCCAAAATTGGTTTTGATACGACCACATAAGCACAGGCTGTTTTTTATCAACTTCTGAACTTTATGAACCAAACCAAAACAATAATAATCTGTTTGTTAACTCCGTGTCTGGTCAACACTGCCCATCTTCCAGCCAATATGTAACGGAAGTCTCTGGTTTGGCGCATTTTATTGTATTCTGTACTCAGTGGAGTAGAGCAAGGGACTGAACCTCTTTTTCTAATGCCGAAAATGAACTCGTGTTAATACAAGTTTTCCTGGCATCTGCTATTGTATTTGAAAATCGCTTTGCGTGAGTCGTTCTTACTCATTTCATAGCATAACCACGGCATAGCTTATCTCCTATCTGTACTGTCCCTTCAGATTAGTTGGACCTAACTAAAACAGTCTCAGAAAAACAGTTTTATGACGTCAACAACTCACCACACTATTTGACAAAGGCTAGTGCCTTTGAAGGCAATCTGTCTCGTTGTGGATTGGTTAACGAGAACAATAGCTGGAACAATAGCCTAAACACAATTCCAGCGCTCCGCCATATTTTTTACAATGCGATAAATTAAAGGGGGACTGGAAACAATCCCTTTGTTCTTATAATCAATCAACGTCGTGACAGATTGCCTTTAATCTCGTATCAAAACTGAATAGCTTATTTGTGAATCGTAGAAAAGAATTTTGCCAAGGTGAACTTGACAAGCAATGGCGTGTCGAAATATGGTGCTAAAAACAGCTTCAGCTGCTCTGGTACAGCAGCTAAAGATGTGAATAGCAAACTCCTTCTGAAATGGTGGCATTACAGGAAACATGCCGGCAATGGCAGTACCATCGAAATGACTGATAAAGCAACAAAGCCGGTTATAGAGACTGTTGGCAGTGATGACGTCATCAAAAGCAAACTCGATGTTGTTATAAGTGGTGGAACAGCCGGGACATATCAGTGTGACGTCATAGTCCAGTGGCTTAACTCTTACGAGTACCACTTTAGACAGAATGCCTCACTTCTAGGTATGCATTACAAATATTTCTATGGTTATTCACTCAGTCCTTCTTGGACTATTCGCTCGCTGACTTTTCCTTTCATTCGTTGTCGGTGGACCATCATACATTTATGAAATTCAAGTAGTTATAGTGAAACCTTATAGTAAAAGGCAATTTTATATAATGTATAGCTCCAAACACTGGATAAATAATGCTTTGAAAGGTTTTTCCTGAAATTGAAGGGTCTACCTGTAAGTCAACACAAATTCTTTTCGTTGAATCAGCGATTTCCTTTAGAATTTTTGTTTCCAAACGAACACATATGAATCCTGTTAAGTCGTACCCAAATAGGTCGGACTTTCACTTAGTCAGACAGACTTTCAATTCAAATTGGCTTTTTATACCTTATTCAAGCCACAAGTCGTACCCGGCACAAATCGGACATTTGCTTAGTCGAATCATTTCCATACCCCCCTTGAGAGCTCGACGTAACGGGATTTGACTTTACCTAACTTCCGAAGAAATTCCTTGCTTCCGAAGAGTTTCTTAGAGTGACATCAGTAAAAAGTATATTTTTAGAAATTTAAATTAATTTTCTTGGAATCAATTTTCATCACGCCACCACTTAGAAGCATTTGACATGCGTAAGTACAGAAAACAACTTAGGCCATATTAATCAGCGCACGCGCGCATGAAAGAAATTGGAAACTGCTCACGTGAAAGAATGTAACGAGAAAACCCAAACTATTGCCTAAGATGCTAAATGAGAAAATGGCTGCTCGAAGAGTCCAGATAACCGTTATCGATGATTTTGAAACGATCGATCGATTTGTAGCCTTTGATGGAGACGAAGCCATAACTCCATTTTGAGCAACTTCGCTTGGATTTCACCGATTTAAAAAAGGGCGGGAACTGTTCTCATGACATTCGCTGTGCGCAATTTGATTGGTCGACCATTGGTGGTCGAGTGGCTGTAAGCCATTTTACCTTTGCCAAATACCTTTAAGGACCTTATGAACACTGGGCAGTGGCTCTGGTGCAGCATGCTAGTCCTATATACCCCCGTTATTTGGAAGTAAATTTTTTTAAAGTGAATACGTCAATGACAAACGACTCTGTTTATCTTCATGTTTCTTTATTTTAGTGCCAGTTCATGTACTTAGGGGTGCTTCTACTGATCAGAAGGTGAAGGTGTATCTTAAAAAGGAGGCTAAACTTTCTTGTCAGGCGATTGGTGACCCTGCAGCCATTGTGACGTGGAAGAAGGACAAGAAAGCCATCAAAGGTGACATTTTTTTACTCTTATTGTTTGGTAAACAAGAAAGTGACACGCTTAAACGGTTGTCACCCCCTGCCTGAAATCAAGGATATGGTTGGGTAAGAGAAGAGTATAATAATACGAATCAATTTAACTTTATGGACGGGGGATGACTCCTTTGCTAAGCATGCACTCGTTTGATGATTTAATAAAGCTGTGCCGAAGATGCTTTGTCGAAGAAAGCTGCCGCTATGCCACCACGACAAATTTTTAACGTGACAATGCTAAAGTACTAGAGCATAGGGCCAGTGGCGGTGCCAGCAACTGCAGAGTGAGGGGGTAATGGGCATGACCTGTGTGACCGCGCCCTTTTGCCCCATAAGGTGCCAGTTGTATCTTCCTTGGGAAAATATCAGAAAAGTATGACCTACCCGTACCTAATTCATTTGAACCAATTTTAGAGAAAATATTTTGACCATGTTTCGAAAAGATGGAGGCATTAGCCCCTATACCTCCCCTTGGCGTTGCCCCTGCATAAGACAATGCTGGCCTGAAAATTCAAACTTTGCCAAAAGGGACAAAATAGACAGTTCTAGGAACATTAGGCCAGCAAGAATTAAAACAAGGATTATATCATACATGTCAAGAAGTTTTATGACTGCATCGACGAATCACAGGTCGCCTAGGGTGAGGGATCGCACTCCTGCTAATATGACATCTACCAAAACATATCGTCTATCCGGATTCGCTGAATCCACCAAACCTCCTAAATTCTAAAAATTATTTGTTTATTCTATTATGATAATTATTTTCAACCATATCCCTTCAGTAAAAAAGTAAGCAGATCTTCCATTTTAGATGGAAGCTCGTCAAATGCGTTTTTAGATATGTTTTAAATTGGCGTAGTGATGATAGTTTCTGGTAGTATCTGAAATCTCATTCCAGGCCTTAATGCCCGAGAATGAAATCCTCTTTGGCGGATTTAAGGTTTAGCTTGGGGATATGGAGTTCTCTATAAATCCCTCGCTCTTATCATATGTTGATATAGAATATCTTTGTTGGAACATATTCTATAAGCTTTCGGGGCATAGTTACAATATTATATACCATAACTTATAGAGGTGCCAAAATATGAAATGCCTCCCATCCGAACGTAAGCAAGCGATAGCAACTAATGGTTTTGAATTTTATATACCGTAAATCCTCGAATAGACCCCCACGCTCGAATAAGCCCCCACCTATAAAATCATTTTTGTACCCATGGGGGCTTATTCAAGGGAAGCATAATTGCAGAATAATGTCTTATTTCAAGAAAGCCCCCACAGGACAATAGCTATACAGTATTACTTCCTTTGACTGAAGATCAAAAAGCAAAAAAGCGACTTTTGTGACAATAAAAAATATTATTATTTGTTAGATCTTCACACAGCAACTCTTTTAACGATATCAGTTGTTTTAATTAGATACTCAAAATGCTCATGTTTATTATCGTTTTTCATTCAATAAAACTTTGATATAAGCCCCTCCACGAATAAGCCCCCTTCGAATAAGCCCCCTTCGAATAAGCCCCTTTCGAATAAGCTCCCCTCGAATAAGCCCCCCCTCTAATAAGCCCCCCTCGAATAAGCCCCCACCCAAAAATTCATTTTGCAAATAAGCCCCTGGGGATTACTTAAAGATTTACCGTATAGATGTTTTAGGCAATGTTTCCTTTTTTTAATCGAATTTTATAAGTTTTTATTTGGTATTATTTTATTTTTTGTACTAGTTCGTTTTCATTTTGTAACTTTGTTAGTGGAGGGCCCCTTGAAAATCAGCAACGCTGAAGGGCAAATCAAATCGTATTTTAAATCAAATCAGATCAGATCAAATCAACTCAAATCAACTCAAATCAACAAGCGATCAAACCGAATTAGATTCTTTATTCTGTGTTGCTGATTTTATACGTTTCTGTTGCCTCTAGCCTCATCTGATGGACGCATCAGCTTCTCCGACTACAACACTAGTGTCAACGGCATCTTGACTATTCGCCATGCTCAATTTAGTGACCGAGCTGTTTACACGTGCACTGCTGCTAATAATTTTTCAGCTGTATCAATGAAGTTCACCTTGAGAGTAAGAGGTAAGTGTTTTTCATTGAAAATTATTTTCTGCACAATATCTTCCCGGAATTCATCAATTTTCTTCATCCTTCAGTTTTTCCGCTTTAACTCATGCCGTTTCCCCATTTTCTCAAACCCCTGTTTTTCCTTTTTCGAATCACCTCCCATTCTTTCATTTTGGGCCTCTCTTTTCCGCATTATTCCGCCTCGTTCTCAGTTTTCCTTTCTCTTTCAATACTTTCTCCGCTTTCCGTCGTTTAATGCCGAAAATGCACAATTCACAAATGTTGAATTTTGCATTTCCTGGAAAAAAACAAAACTAATTTAAGCCATTTTTACAGAATGCTGAAATTTTCAAAAGCTAGATTGTTTAAGTTGGTAGCAGCAAGTTCAAATTGAATATTGTTTTCAAATTGAACATATAATGAGATGAATTATCGGGGTCGATTTTAGCGGAATTTTGCAACTATTCTTGCCCTGTAGTCTCAGTCCTATATCCTGGAGGTTTGGTCAGGGCAAGGTATGACTGATACTTTTCCACAACTTTATCTATATTGCCTTGCCAGGTTCTTTTTGTTCTTCCCTTTACATCCACTTTCAACATGGTATCGCTAAGGGCGCACCTAAAAACCAGATCTTTTAAACTATATACAGGATACGTTGATAGTTCTGGCGCACCTTTGCATTTGCAGGCAATTTTGCGCACCCGCGCATAAAGTGCGGGGCTGTTCGCGCACCAAAAATCTTGACAAAATCAGCCATTCTCCGTAAACGCATTCGTAGCCAATTCTTTTTCGATCTCCTATCAATTAACAGTGCTTTCTTTTAATCGGTTTTTCCTTTTATTTTTCACGAGGTTTTATAAGCATTCTTTAACTTTTTGTAATGTTGTATTTTTGCCTCACTTCGTGAATTATTGGGTTCGACGTCACAACTAAAGATTTGTGTCTCAGTAATGAGCTATGTCCTATTTTGTCAACAGATCCTCTCGGTGCCCTGTGGCCATTCCTTGGTATCATCATTGAAGCCATAATTCTTGCTGTTATTATTATTGTTTACGAGCGATACAAGCCTGTGAAAGGCAAGAAAGGTATTTGCATACGTCATTCCTTATTCGCTATGTTTGTTTTTTACTGTTGTGTGGGGGCTCTGGAACAGTCTAGAGAAAGAAACAATATTGGCACCCTCTCTTAAAATCTTCAAAGAACAACTATAGAAGGGGCTGTAACTTTAATTTCATTTTTACGTTCTTTTTCATAGATTTTGTATTATATTGTATTGTAAATTAGGTATATTAATTTATTTTGTTCTTAGTTACGGTAAAAGCTCTATTAAGCCCCCAGGGGCTTATTTGTTTTTTCCATACTAGAGGGGGGACTTAAAAGAGAGGGGGGCTAATTAGAGAGAAGCGGCTTATCAAAAATTGGAATCAAACAATGTTTTAAAAATACCTTTTTCTATTTTTTGTTATAAAAATGTCACAAAAGTTTCTCAAAGAACTTCACTAGCAGCTTCGAAAGTCTTATTAATCAATTATAACGCCTCATCTTCATCAGAATCACCAGGATCAATTGATAACCCTGGGACATCTTCTAAAAAAATTTCGATTGACTTCTTAGGGGCACAAGTAAGTCTTTACATGGGCTGTGTTTAATGCAAACGATCTTATTATCATCACGCCTGTCAAGAGACCCACTAAATGCGCATGTTTTCCTCGTTTTGCAACAAAGGCTAAAGAGGGGGGCTTAATAGAGAGTTGGGGCTTATTTTAGGTTTTTGCTTGATAAGGAGGGGCTTAATAGAGAGGGGGGCTCAATAGAGACGGGGGCTCAATAGAGAGAGGGGGCTTAATAGAGCTTTTACGTCAAGTGTTTTCGTTTAAACAGTTCTGTTTGAAAAACATATTTTGATACGAAACTTATAACCTGTATAAATATTCTATGTAAAAATGAAAAAAATGAAAAATAGCTTGTGTAGTAAAAATGGGATACATGGCGAATCAGAGGTCATTTACATGTGAAATGTCAGTTTTTTGTTTTCTGTTAGGGTAAGAACTCACAAATGGTATTTGTTTGTTTTGTTTTTGAAGAATATAAACGGATAGAAAATTCGCGATCGTCGTAGCCAACCAATCATAGTGATATCTGCAATTTGCAAATATTTCTGATACAAATTTGCAGCTGAAATTTGCAAACAATTTTTGATGGTACAGAATTTATAAATTGCTTTGAAAAAGGAAACTTTTTAAGACATGCTTAAAAAGCTTTTCAAGACACTCTTCAGATGTTTTATGACATGCCTCAAAATATAAAACATCTGAACATTTTTATTCATTTTCATTTAATTTAATAGTGATTTCTATCTAACCAACCAATTTTCTTCATTGATATTTTTAAAGGGAAATTTCTCAAGTCTCCTCTCCAGTAATTTTCTACACTTAAAACCATTTGCTATAAACAATCGACCTTATTTTCTTTAAATGAATAGCAGAATTCTAAAGAAAAATTTTTATAGGTTTTCCCCCAAATAAGTTACGATTTTATCGAAAGGAGTGTTATAAAATGTATAAGTGCTGCCTGAAATTTCCACCTGTCATTTCAGCTAAGAAAAAGAAAATCTCCAAACACACCAACGGCTCTAGTAAGCCTGACGACAACAATACTGACAGTCCCGTTGTTTCGACTACTGCAGTTGCGCCTGTAAAAGACGAAACTGACCGTAACATTGCGGCGGACTTGGAGGAGAATGGCGTAAATTTTGACGAAACGAAAAACGAAACGAATAACGTAACTACGAAAACAGTGACTGAATTTACGCCTGAGGTAACATCTGGAGCAACAGGTTCTGCACCGGACTCAAGAATTGACATTTTGAATTCGGTGGAGAACCAAGATGAAAATTATACTGATAAATCAAAGGACAATGAACTAGAAAACATGACAGACACTGCTAGTAAAGAAGTTGGACAACCTGATACAGACATGACAACAGAACTATAAGTTGCCTTTTGTCATGACTGAATAAGCATCTGTTAAAGGCAATCTGTCTCGTTGTGGATTGGTTAACGAGAACAATAGCTGGAACAATAGCCTAAACACAATTCCAGCGCTCCGCCATATTTTTTACAATGCGATAAATTAAAGGGGGACTGGAAACAATAAATAATCCCTTTGTTCTTATAATCAATCAGCGTCGTGACAGATTGCCTTTAAGATGACGTCAAACGTTTTTGACAAGACCTTGACCGTCGCATTTCTGGTAACAAAGATGCTTTTAAATTTGGATTTAATATCCCTAATGACTTGAAATTTATTGCAGCTGGGCTACATTCAATAGCTGATAGTACTAAAAGTTCAAGATCTGTGAATTAGAACATTTTCCGATTAAAAATCCTAAGCTCCCGAATTTTGACTAAATGTTGATCAAAAAATTAGAATAGTTAAATTTCATACTGAAACGTAAATTTTCTGAATATTCTTTGCAACTTAAAAGCACGTTGTCCTGTCAGTCAAGTGTTCGCACTAACAAAAGGGCTCTGTGGCCATATACAGTTGAGAAAACGCCGAGAATGAGCCTCGCACTGCCGATTGGTAGATGTAACAATAGCCTATTGTATGATGCAACCAATTGGAATTTAAGTGACCATCGAAATTCTTCAGGACATGTGTCTTTAAGTTTGTTAACCCAATTTGTGTACATATTGAAAGTTTTTTGTGAAAACGTTTAGATAAATTAACTTCATTGTGTAAAAACCGACATTGAATTTAGATTTTTTCATATTCAGTCGCTATCTGTCTGTATCATATAATTTGAATTCCTAAATATGTTGTACAAAAATTACCTCAATGTGATTTTTACTAATATTAGGGACGTTTGAAGTATTCATAACGGGGTAGGGGGCAGTTTTGTGGGGGCACTTGTCATTGTCATCAGTCGATAAGAGGTTCTGGCGAAAAGGGGACAGTGAATCTCCAACCCCCCTCCCCCTCCCCCATCCCCCACTTGTTACGTCTTTGATTAACATACCGAAACTGAATGGAAGATTTTACGAGAATCTGAGATGTAAGGTAGTGGATGATAGAAAATTTATAACCAGATTCGGATCTAATGTAACGTGAGAGGAAGAAAAACGCTTTTAATTGATTTGCAGACAATATTGTTATGGTACAGAATTCAAACGTTGTTTTGAAAAAAACAAAAAATTTTGAACATACTTTAGCTTTTCGTATAACACTCTTCGGAGTATAAAACGTCAGAACATAGATCAAAAACTCTACGCTAGGGGTGAACAAAACAGAACTATTCTTCTTATGAAAAACTTATACTAATTTTTATCAAGGCTGGAACTGTTTTAAGATATCCAGGTATTGTGATAACTAGAAAAGATTTGAGAATAACAAACGATTTAAGTGTTTTATAGAACAATTTCACGTAACTAAATTATATTGCTTGATAAAGGTATTTCCATTATTAAGCTGTATTTAACACCTAAAATACTTTATAATTCAGTTAATGCTCCTTAGAAAACCAAATCCGTGCTATTGAGGTTTTTCTTTAATTGTTTGCTAACCATATAAAGTAATATATTTATCGACCAATATCGGGAAATATGTGTGATTTGTGGGCCTAAAAGAATGGACATTTATTGAGCAGTCCAGGATCGACTGTTGTCTCAAAAGGATTTCGACAGACAGACCAGTGAATATTTTTAATATATTATAAAGATGATTAATAAAGTAACTAAAACTTATACAATATTAATACTTTCATTACGTGAGATGATCTTCGAACAGCTTTTGAATGTGTTAACTGCGATTCTCAGCTGTCAGTGCTATAAAAGATTTTGTCCTATTTATAATTATCTGATAAATTTATATTTTTTCACAATTTAGGATCAAAGGAAAAGAAGAAATTAGAAACATCACCCTTGCTGGCAGCTAAGTAAGTTATATTTTCTTATTTTGTCCGTATTTTCATTTATTCAAATCATCAGTCTCTAAGGACCTGAAGGAAATTCCCGGCTCGTTCTAAAACATTTGGGCTTAATGCCCTGGAGATGCTTTTCGGTTTTTTATTTTGCTTATCGATCCCAAATGACACAGTTAAGTCACACGAGACTCGTATTGAAGCTGGGGGGGAGTACTCGACCTTGAAAGAAACTCGAAAACTCCCTGGAAGAATTGTCCGTATTTTCCACATAGTTGGTCCAAATTTATGCGCGGTAGGTGAAAACTAATCGAGCAAAGCAAGCAAATATTTAATGAAAAGGGGAAATAACAAAAGGGGGGAATGGAATAGTCGTAACCACCTGCTTACAGCTTCCGACCCTGATAGAGAGTGGATTTTTTTGGGACTTTAATTTGAGCATCTCTATTTTTGTTGGGTGACCATCGTAATTCTGCGTCCAGGACAGTTGCAAAATTAAGAAGGTTAACAAATTAACAGTGAAGATCACGACATACAAAAATTTTGAAAAATGGCTGGTCGTTTAATATGATGTCATGCATTATGAAAATTCAAGGCACATGTTGAGTAAATAGTTTCCATGTAGTAAATAGCTTTAGTGGCCTAACTTAGCATGAACCAGTTGATCCCTTAGGTTAGGTCGTCTTTTGCGAGCTAGAATGGGTTAAGTACTCTCTCAATTTTTTTTATATAAGCATTGGCTAGAGCCCGAAGTCATGTCAAAATCTGTGGTCCAAATTTTTGACTTCAATCGTCATTTGGGGCTCGTAGATATGATGGCAACATTTGGGGCTGAAATTTTTGTTACCACCGAAAATTTATCAGGGTTTGTACTAATCAGTTGGAAATTGATCCAGTTTTGAAGAATGCACATAAAGCCGGAATGGACGCAAAATTCAAAGAGTTGCCCGCGAGGTCTCATGCTTTTTTTCAATTCTTTATTTATTTCTAAACAATCGCTAGCTTTACCAAAGCTAATTAAAACAAATTTAAATTCCCAACGTTAAATATAATGTAAATCAAATCTAATCGATGTTACATACGTATTCCTTGCTAAGCTCAGAAGTACAATTGAACGCATGGATAATGAATTTTTTAGATATATTTTTTAAATGCTATGAATGGAGAGATGAATTTTTTTAATCATATTTTATGTTTTATGCCAAAGTGAATCTAAAAAGAAAGCAAAATTTACAAGAATCATGAAAACCAAAGTGTTTTACGAAATGCGCTATTAGCCAATAAATGTTACCTCCTCCATTATTTCTTGGATCAAAGCTGCCCTTGACAATATACTGGATAAAATGAAGAGTAGATATCTGCTCCTCTTAATATATGCTCCCCTTGATCGTACGTAGGCTGCTCCCTCGTTCCACAGCAGGTTAATTTCGAGCTGTAGAGGATAAAATTAAAGTTGCTTTGAAAAACATTCAACACTTTTCCTTTTATAATAATGAATTTTACAAGAATATTAAGCTCGTGCAATTTAGTGAAAAATTTTGACTTCTTCAACTGAATATTTTAAGCAAAAAAGACAATTTATACAACTTTGATGCAAAAAATTTGAAGTACACACATCATTATGTTAGCATGTTTCATTTCCTAAAATGTTTTCATAGTATGAAGTAGCAAAATATTTGAAACTTTCTTTCTCGATTCTTACCAAATTCATAAACTGTGTCGCTTTAGATTGATTAAAGACAAATTTTCGGCTCAGAATCACATATTTTGGTGCATATTGAGGCTCAAAAAATTAAGTTATTCTTATAAGAAGAAAAGCTTGCAGTCGCACCACTTCCGTGCTGTTGCTTAAGACCGTGACTCTTTTGAATTCATTTATTTGAAATAAAATTCCAATTTTGAAGGCCGACAGGTTTTATATGAATCACATAAATTTTGCCGAGGCTTTATTTTTTTATTTTTTTTCCAAAATTTATGATTCGAGTTTTCTTAATATTGATTTCTCTGCAACTATATAAAAAAAATTGTTTCTAAAAATTTCTGGTAAATTTTTAACTTTTATTCTTTTAAAGATTAGCTTTCATTATGTAAAATACAAGATTTTGATTTTACTGAGCAAATTAACCTATGTCGATATGAAAGATTATTCTTAAGTATAAGTTTTGTATGAAATTTTTGACCGCACGATTATGCTGATAAAATCTTCAAATATTTGTTAACGCTAGAGCAACCCGTTTTTCTAATTTTAGTCAGAGGCTGATCATATTCTTTCGTTGTTTTTATTTTTTGGCCAATAAATGTTCTTAGAAAGTTTGTTTTTCTAGAAAAGAGTGTATTAGACCCCGTAGTTGAATTATTCCAGGAGATTTGAAGATTTTAATGTAGTACACTTACATTATGAGGAGAACTTACACTGGGTCATTCGATTTGTTTCTAAACGTGAAAGTGTCGATTGAACAATTCATTTGAGGGCAGTGAAGGTTAATACGCAACATAAATTGATGTTGCCAATATGTCCACGAACACGTATATAACTGTGCCGAACAGTACGACACGCCGGAGCAAAGGATCACGGAAAGGAATAACTGTACAGCGGTGAAGGGAAGATTGAATGAAAACAGTTCGCCTTGCTGGGCAAGATGGGGCAGAAGCGAAAGCCAGCTTCCATGCGCTGTAACGCAATATTACAAGCCTGACCCCCGCTAGTCTTGTCAATGGGCCTAGCAGATGTTGTCGGAAGCTGTGGATTAGGCCTAGGCATGTTGTCACACCAGTATTGATGTCGAAAGAAAAAGATCTATGATAGGAAACTCAAATCCGATACAAGAACGCGACTTATTCAATATCAAAGCTTCATAGAGAAAATGTAATTTAATGATAACGTTTTTGACGTCGTACATTAGGTCATCGCGGTGAGCAGATTATTTTAAGCTCGGATTGGAAACGTAAAAATAACATCGACAGACATCAATTTTGACAATGCATTTGACATGAAGCTTCTATTGATCCTGCCCATCGAGCTGCTAATTTCTGATTCTTCTGTCGATAACCTCTCGCTGCTGATTTGATAGAATCGTTATTTGGCAAATTGGATACCTTTGAAGATAGGGCTGAAAAAGTGTGCGACTGTGCCACCGCTGTACATTTTGAATCTGTGACATTGCAATGGAGTTGAAATCTGATGAAATCAACTTATCCTATAACCTATGTTTGATTCTTTTCCTAAAATAACAAAATAAATTGTTTGGTAACCATTATATCATCGATAAGGAAAGAAGCTCGCCACAAAAACACATCAAGCTAATTTCTTTCCCATGCACAATCCTGTTTGTTGAAATTAAGATAGTTTAAAGCAAGTGTTGTATTGAATGGATTTTTCTTTCTTGTAGCCAAGGATCCGGCGTTGAGTATACAGTTGGGGCAAGAGGGACAGATGACACGGTAAAAATGATTCCAGAAGGGGAAGTTAATGCCTGAAAAATGGTAGGAATCTACTTTGCAGTTTTATTCATATTACACCACAGTCTACAATGCTTTAATTTCTTGCCTCAGGGGGAAGGGACCCCGTGCCTTTCATTACAGGCCGCCTAAGCCGAAATTTAGTGGAGGGTTAAGTTTTACACAAACTGAAAGATATTTTTGTCCGATATTTTTGTCCGTTAAAAAAACAGACAGATATTTTTGTCTTATATGGCCGAAACGCTCTTAAAGGAACCTCTATACAACAAGCACCTCTATACAACGGACACCTCTGAAAAACGGACAGATGTTTTTGTCCCAAATGGCCGAAACGCTCTTAAAGCAGCGTTTATTCAACGCGCACCTCTATACAACGGACACCACTGAAAAACGGACACCACTGAAAAACGGACAGATATTTTGTCTCACATTGTCAAAACGCTCTTAAAGGAACGTTTATTCAACGCGCACCTCTATACAACAGATACCACTGAAAAACGGACACCACTGAAAAACGGACAGATATTTTGTCTCACATTGTCAAAACGCTCTTAAAGGAACGTTTATACAACGCGCACCTCTATACAACAGATACCACTAAAAAGCGGACACCACTGAAAAACGGACAGATATTTCTGTCCCAAATGGCCGAAACGCTCTTAAAGGAACGTTTATACAACGCTCACCTCTATACAACGGACAGTTAAAAGGCTCCAATGAAGGCCGACCTATTTTATCTACTATGGCAAAATCGAGCAATTTCCCTGTGCGAAATTATTAATTTGATGGGCTACATCTTTTGATAATCGCTACCGCTGCAGACATGCGCAAGTGTCTTGATCCCTGGCTACAACGTATGAAATATCAGCCAGTCTATACTGAAAGTAATCAAGCTGGCGAATTAATTTCGTTATGTTGTGTTATCGTACGTCGCTATGATCATATTTAACGCGCTTACACCCACGTTAATCCAGTGATTCTGGGTGTTCGCTAATTATTGAATTTCAAAGCCTTTAGAATTCGTTATCAAAAATCCTTCAACACTCTGGCAACGAATTTTATCAAACTGATTTTCTAGAAATTTTTTTCATATCTTTTCGATGACGATTTCGTTTTTCAAAAGCCAGGAGCCAGATAAATTTGGATTTTCATAATCCTAAAACAACTTGAATTAGCTGTTTGAAAGTTTTTTTGATTGAAGAAAAAACACCAGCCTTACACTGTTGTTCCTTCGGCCTTGGCAATGTCAATAATAAAACATTTGGCAACGAAACGGCCTATACGTAACCAGCAAATCAGTCCAAACCACTCAATGAATGGCGTATCTATGCCGTGGACCATATACAAGTGTTTTAATATAGAACCGTAGGTGTAGAACTGGGAGGGGCTTGAGGGGGGCTTAGCCTCCCTAGTTAATGTCAAAAAGTAGTTTCTCCTTTTTGTTATTGTTTTTTGTGAAATTCGTTGGGAGAGCCCCGTTGTTATTTTCATGGCAACACATCCGTATGTAGAACGGTGCAATGAAAACATGGAAATCGCTGGATGAAACCCTTGCAGTTACATTCTGAGGCCGTTCTCCTTTCCAACTTTATTTCCCTCGAAATGAAAATAGGTAAGCAGGTCTAAGACCTGACACTCCACTGTGAAATACCTTGCATTAGATGCCCTGTTGAAAAAAACTGGAAAAGATCTCACTAACCCCAAAAAAGCATTTGTAACATATTGCGTAGATTAACAAAACTTTTGTGCATCAGGATTCAAACCTCATCCCCATTTTTACCTAAAAACTTTTCTGAAGGATTCGTGGGGGCCGCTTTATCCAGCACAAAAGGACCTTCCATTCCATTGCTAACAGTTAGCCTTTGTGAGCGTGGCAAATTGTCCAGGCGACAATCCAAACAATGGCAGCAAACTTCTACGGATCAACCAAAATTGATTTCAGACAGTCTGAAAATGCTTTATGGGATGCTTGCTTAGCGCAATGGCTCATTGTTAGCAATGAATCTTTAAGGGAAACTCTCGACTGTTTTCATCGGGACCTATTTCAGAAATGGGCCTAACACAGCAGCACTAATAGCACCAATCTTTATCAAGTCCGGTCCTTGTCTGTTCCTACTGCCGCCATATGATGATTTTTTTTCGTGAGAAAACTTCACTTCAAGGGCACTCCAAAGGTCTTTAGAAGGCACTGTGTGTCTTAAATTACATCATATTAATAATGGCAATCGAACAATGGCCTGGATTGGCCATGTACTGTTATTTTTAGCATTTATTTGTCAGAAGATACAGTGTCTCCAGGCTCTATAGGTTCCAATGTATTTCAAGTTTCAGTTACTGCACAAACAGCCTACGCGGTGCATTGTCAAAAATATCACCTAATTAAAATAAAAAAGCCGCCGATGCTCCAATACATTTTTTTATATCAGGTCCCCTTTCTAGCTTCAGGCGACAAGAGAACGAATACTTCTGGATGTTCTCTGTGTTTGGCGTCTTATTGGGCCTATCTAAGCAATAGTATCGTACAGTTAATCATGACGACGACTCCAAGCCCGTTTCCAAAAGGAGGCCACTTTTGAAAAATATGGACACTTTTGAAATAGATGGCCACTTTTAAAAGAGAGGCCACTGTTACAAAACCAAAAGAAGAATTCTCGTAGAATTCAGTCACTCTCGCGTTACCTTTTTATTTCGTGTCTGTGGATGGTTCATTTATATATGAAGTACTGTGAAATGGAGAAAATTGAAGAAAATGATACAGTACCACATCAAGCATAGGGCTCAAATCTTGATTGGCTGAGAGCTTGCGCTAAATCATGTGGTCTCTCTCGCCGCTAAGCCGATCACAGCCGCGGAACGTGCGAACAAACTTAGGCCAAGCCAAATATCGAGCATTTTAACTACCGCTTAATTTATCACTTTACCCATAATTCGTAATAAGTTAATGGGCATGTAGACTTATGCACAATTTTGCTAGCTACCATATCACACCATTTTGCAATTCTCTGGAAATCCATCTAGAGGTGGTATCCAATTATGAATTCTTGTCTATTATATTATTGGAACTGTATCATAATATAAGCATTAGTTTCCAATATTGTTTGCCTATGTTTGCCAATCTATTCTCTGTGAAGTTTGCAATTTCTTGCTATCAGTATTTAAGAATTTGCCTATGTTTGCCAATCTATTCTCTGTGAATCTTTCGTGAACTTGAAAGTTTCTTAGTGTGGGGTTCGTCCAGATGTTAATTCTTTTTCTGTTATTTTGTAGGACTTTGACCGCTGAAAAACATAGCATAATGTTTAAAACAGTATTTACAACTTTTTTACCCATCTTGCTGATCATCGTTGGACAAAAAAGTACAAAATATACCCTGAACAATTTTCATTTTTGAAAAATATTTGAGTATCACGTTGGCATCAAAACCCATCAGCCATTACTCAGCAACTGTTTGGTGAATGTCGTTCACTGAAAGTTTGGATTTGATTGGATGGTAAAAGTGTCAATCAAACGTTGACTGCTGTTATTTGATTGGTTAAAGCTTGACAGTTACTTGTGACAGCCCTTTCCGGTTTCTTTAATTTGCATTCTTTGAAGCTTTCACAATTTAGCCAGATAATGTTGAGTGTTATTCCCTAAGACTCGTGGTTAGGTCCGTTGCTTTTCTTTAGAAAAATGTGTGACTCCGTTGTTTGATATTGTTTTATAAATTATTTGGTGTTATTTTGTTAATGCATTATTTCCCTTTGTCGCCAATGAAAACAATCAATGTTCTTGCTACGCATTGCTTCAAGTTTACATTTGAAAAGCAATTTTTATGGCGAGCCTTGCACTTTTTGTCTTTTATTATGTGATTCGTGTCATGTTCGTAACTTATCAAAGCGAAATGTTGTAAAATCGAAATTTTGTGCTAGAAGTAAAAGTTGTTCATCGGGACAAACAACAGCAAATGTTGCAGTGTCTGTCACCCCCGTTCATATAATCAAATCGCACGGATATAACTCTTTTCAGTCAATGGTGCCTCGACATCTTAGACGGGGGTCACTCAGACATTTCAACAGCAGCAGCTGTTTGCCTCCCTAACAACAATTGAATAATTCCAGACATAAGATGCCTCTTTCGCAAACGATGCACTGTTTTGTAATTATTTAAAAAAAATTAATGCACTACCGTGTCATACATTATCTTTTAAATTTAGTCTGAGTTGCCTTTTATAATAAACAACTTTTTGCTTGTTTGTTGTGTGTCATTCCACCGTCCGCTAAACACCCTATGGCAAATTTTAGCTTCCAGAAATTTTTCTTAATTTCTAGTTCCAGAATCACTTTTCTCAAAAGTTCCAGATAAAACACCCACTATATCTAGCTACATTCATTTTGATTGAAGAGGTTCTCTTAAAGTATGCATTCAGTTAGGCCAAAAAAGGCCTACTTCTAAGCTCTGAGAATGAACACTGTTTATCAGGAGACGGGGTGACATTGAGTTTTTGAAAACTTCTGCTTTAGGCGTTGCTAGCTTCCCAGTGTCCGACTACGTTTTTTTAGAATTATTTACAAAACGCTATTAATGGTAGGAGTGTTTGAATTGTCACTACGTAGAACCGGCATTTATTACCACTATTAGCAGAATTTAGGCCCATTTTCCTCCGTAGAAAATACGTGCATTTTAGGCCCATTTTCCTCAGTAGAATATGCGTGCATTTTTAAAGACCCCGACCCCATTAAAAATAAAGCGGACAACTTTTTGTTGCGTCTTATAGTAGCGTAAGCAATGTTTTCGTTGCGTCTTATAGTAGCGTAAGCAATGTTTGCTATGCTTAAAATATGTTACGTTATCGCGCGTCCTTTTTTGTAGATATTTTAGATAATTGAAAAAATCAGTGCTCATAGACCTGCTCGTATTTCGAAAGCTGGGAGAAGGTTCCGTTATGAACCTTCCGGATACGCCAGATGTACCGTGCATATGAAACGTACCGGAAGCGGTCGATTATTGCCTTGAAAACGACTATAGCGTAACTTGCAGGCTACCGAAAGCGCGGTGAAAGCTGAGACCGCCCATTCCTTCTCTACCCTAACCATCTTCTTGGTACAGTAAAAATGAAACAGCCTAACGGGACAGTTTTGAAATTTCAAAGTGTGATCTCTTGCGAACCGCAACTGCACGAAATTGACCCGGGACGGTGAAAACTGCCCAATCTGCTGGCCGAGATTTTGCAAACGGTCCTTGATTTGCTTGGTAAAGAATTATTGCTTTTTAGAATAATCGAAGTTGTTTTGCTACTCGTGTTTAATTGTCTTGGCTTACGAAACCGTTGATTAATTAGCTTTTATTTGACTTAAAATGCACCCGATACTTTTTTCGTCGAGTTTTTTTTTGAATTAATTTTACTTTTATAGATTATAAACTAAATATTCAATACGCAAAGATAATCCTAGTAACAGCTCACGTCTGTTTACGTTAATACATATATTTCACTTATGAATATATTATTGATGCAAAATGTCTCTCTTTGGGTGTTGTTAATCTTCTCCTTGGTTTGTAATCCAATCCACTTAGCCTTGCGCCCACGCTGCGTCCTGCCACTATGGCCACCCATAAGCGGCGTTATAAGAGTTCAATATTGATTACATCACTAAAATTTGCTTTTTTGTTGTTGGAAATTTTGAATTTGAAAAAATATTTAACAATGTAAAATAGCTAATAATATATAATTCTAACAATTTAACAGTATAACATAGCCTGAATATTTAAAGTCAGTTAAATTGTTTTACAAATTGGTTGAGATCAAGGTACATAAACAGACGCTCTTTCACCGTAAAATCTCTGTCCCTCTGTCTGATCGAGTCTCTCCATCTTGAGACCTCTCGCGCCTAAAGCTTTGGCTGCCATTTGTTAAAACGGTGCACACACAGTGTTGCGCCTTAAATTGTGCATTAGCTATTAAATTCTAAAATATTCTAAGATCGAAAAGGCCTAGGAAAATAAGTGAACAGTGAATTCTTTGTTACATAAGCTTAGTACTATGGCAAAAATGTTTAACGTCACTTGCGAATGATGCAAGTTTCTGCTTCAACGGTTACTTTGAATTTTGCTATGATAAAGCAAGTTGAGCTGAAACCAACATGATTGCTTTCTAGGCTCATGCAACACGGCGAGGTCTCAAGATGGACGCTGCAATGTGGAATCAATGCTGGGCTGGAGAAGCTCGATCCAGTCTTTTTTCGAAATCAGTGGAACCAATAAGGAAATGCAGCATATATACATACGCATTAGCGCGAAGGCCTATATGGACAAAACTGACAACTCATGGCGCTTCAATAAAAACTATCAAATATCATAGTTGCATCAAATAAACCAAAGTTTTATTCTTACACTTATAAAAGCAACCTTTTCTCAAAAGTTTCCGCATCCATGATTCGAAACTGGCTTGTTCCCGTAAGAGCCACAAATGCAGAATAGTCACGTGATTACTTGCTTTCGTTTTGCTCCCTAAAAATGGTTAGGTAGATGCCCGTTGTAGAGACACCAAGAAAGAAAATCGGTTTCCGTTGAAAGGGGGTATCTATCGTCGGGAGGTGTCTGTTGTAAGGGGATGTCTACGTATAGTGGGGAAATGTCAATCGCAGGGAGATCTCCTTCGTAGGGGCTAGCTATTGTAGGAGAGTTTCCGTTATAGGGAGGTGATTCGTGCAAAAAATTTACATTGAACGCAATTTTGGAAAAATATTATTTTTAATCTTTTCAAAGTTTTTTTTATTAGGTATACCTTTTAATAGCGGTCTTACTGTATGCCGTTTTCGTTCCATTTAATTCTTTATCCCGTTTTCTTTTTGTACCGCTTCTTTTAGCAAGAGTAAGGGTCTTCTTTGCCAGAAATGGTAGCCTTCTTGAAACTCGTCATTCAAGATTTTGGTCCTTTGTAAGTTTTGTCTTTGGGCCCTTGAATCCCTATTGAAAAGCAAGGATTTTGTATATGTTACTCTTTGTATTTATGGGTATTATTACCCCATGCGCAGGCTTGATACAAAACCATAGAAAACCCTCGAAATGTGCAAAGCTCATCTTTACTTCACTTGAAAACATAAAACATGAACGAACGTGTGTTATCTTAACAACGAAACTTGACTACATAAACTACTTCTGTTTATTTATTATGAACACAATAGGCATTAAGCATATTTTATTGTTTATAAAAAAGGTTAAAAGGTCATGTCCTTACATATACTTTTAAGTACATCTGCAACAGGACAATATCAAGCATTACTAACGTAATAACAGGGGTGAAGCCAGCAAAATTTTCGGAGGCCTCGGAGGGGTACAGAAGTGATCTTTGCCGACAAATATGGGCGTGTCTCACTCTTTATTGATGGGGTGGTAAGATACATGATCTTATTTGCTGCCTTTGTGCATTTCTGTTACAAAATTAATACTTTAGAATGCCAAACTTTAGAATGCCATACTTTAGAATGAAAACTCAACTACTGAAGAAATGTTAACACATTACAATTGTTACAAAGTTACAGAGGGAGTACAAAAAATGCTTCTTTTGCCCGGAATTAACCCATAATTGCTGACAGACAAAGTATTGGGGGAACAGCGCCCCCGTACCCCCTTTGATGATGCCCCTGCATAATGATATGGTTTATACAGGGTATGAAGTAATATTTCTTAAATAAGGGATGCCTTCGAACAATGGAAACAAAAAATTTTTCTCATTGGTGCCCCATCTCCGTTCTATTGAGCTTTGGATTACTAGTTTAAATGAAATTACTACGATGAAAAGTGTTCTAAATAGAATGCCGTTCATTTCTACTAATTCCTGCCGTTCATTTGAGTGGGTAACTCTCAAAGCTCCTTTCCAAAAGGTATTTCAATTGTATGAAATCAAAGCATTATTTGATATTTCTTTATAATTACATTTTTAGTTGATAGTGTTAGAAATAGGCCTGGGGAAAAGTAGGCCTGGGGTAGGTAGATAGAGGGTGAAGTCAAGTTTGATGATGTTTGTTTTGTGAGAAGACAAGTTAGCGAATCTGGGAAACGAGAAGATGGTTACAGGCTCTGGGAAGAGAAGATCGGTTGTAGAATCTTGTTTCTGTGTTTGGCAAGAAGATTTGGAATGGGTGAGTTTTAGGTGATTTTATATGAGCATGAACTTTAACAATGCCGAATCAAAATGGATGTCAATTGTGGTGCAACATTAGGTCCAGTTCTGAAATTGGCCCAAAATTAACACAGACGAGAATTTTCCTGAAGCCGAATAGGCAGGCACTGTTTTTATAAGCAACTGAAGTCTTTAGGGGTTTGATGTAAGCAAATCACACCTTTATTTTCCATACCTTTATCCTCTCTAACTTTCTTTTTATGACTTTTTAGCAATATAAAATTTCAGTATAATCGTGTTACCAAAATTTTTTCATAAGGTACTTTGTAACTGTGCTTAGTTGCGAAGGCCTGTTTTCTGAAGACATTCCTTAACTGCATATAAAAAAGCCTTTTTCCCATATTTTATTCGGTGTAGCAGAATAGTGCCTTCCGCGGACTGCAAGCTTGCCGTGATGTTGCCAGTTCCCTTTCATCCTTATCACAAATCTTTTGGGCTGATTATGTCTCCGAACGTACAAAAGGGCAAGTCACCCCATCGAAATATCGTGCAACTTGGTGTAAGTTCTATTGTTTCAGCTTCAAATCCCTAGCTTTCCATTCTTTTGTTTTGGTGAAAATCTCGTATGTTTTTGAAAGAGTCAATTACCTCTCGGAACTCGTCAGGGAATCTGTATATAAATTAACGATCATGTTTGAAAATATGTAAATGCTTGTTTTTCATCATACATGGTAGATCAATCACAACAAAGCGGCCCTGTAGAATGAAAAAAGCACGGGGCCCTTTCAAAATGATAAGGGCACTTGAATGATAATCGAGGGACCCTTCCTTGAACTGTGGCATCATATGCTAATCTGTTATGGCGTCCCTCTGTAATTCAATGATAAAGTTGGCGGCGGTGAAAGTTTTAAGGTCTTAGCTTATGGAAAATAGGATCCCATCATAGCGTCGAAAAGGATTTCCTTTGATAAAAGGCCTAAAAGAAAAGTAAGTTTTTGTCCATGTAAATTATGGCTTATCGTATTATCGTAGTCAGGTAGCATTCGTTCGGCGTGTAACAATTTTCCTTTTGACGTCATAAGGCCTGGGTTCGAATGGTTACGTCACCTTCTACGTTGGATGCATGTTAGCCTAACGAGTTGGTGAGTTATTCGTTTAGGTGTCGCCTGTCAATGCAAAATTAGAATTTTACACAAATTTTTCCGATCCCATGCTCTGAAAACTACAGTTATCTATAAAAAACATATTGATTGACTGATCAACGTTTTAGAGGGAGCGGAAAGACAAAGAACCAGAAAAGTGGTCGAAGACCGGGATAAAGATTGTTTTAGACAAATATTTTATTTAACCAGTCCAAGACGATACCTTGCTTTCATTGTTTTGCTGAGGAAAGTTATGAAGTTTTGTTTTGTTGGCCTTAGGTATGATGAACAGACTCTGCCTGTGAAACTCTGCCTGTGAAACTCTGCCTGCAGTACCTTAAAGCAAAAGAAAATATTGCGGGGTCATTGATTAATTAGAAATAAGACTTTTTATCATTTTTGGAGGCACTTGAGCAACGGCTCTTGTATTGGATGAGGTCGACGTCTACCAGATTAATCGGCGTGTGCCTTTGGTCTGGTCCTTTGCAGCAGATAAAAAGAAACATTAATTAGTGCCTCGTCGGTTCACGGATCTTGGCGCGTGGATTTCTGCATCATTCATCTTATAATCCAAATGGCTTTATATTCATGCAGCATTCAAGGTTTGAGCCACCTTGAAGGAAAAATGGCCAACTACTCCTTGTTTTCCCTGTCACTTTGATTTATGGCTCCAAGAAAAAACCTCTCCCGTTTTTAGAAAACAGCCCCAATACTCAAAAAGCATAACAGGCCAATGTCTGCTCCCTGCACGCTGAAAATTTCTAAAGATTCTAAAACATCCGCCCATTAGTTATAATTAGGCTTAGTAAAATGTTTTTCGTAGGAATTTTTTTCGTACAGGTTATAATTTTGTATTGGCACTTGCTCCCTCCTACCATGCTTCTGAAGTTAGTTCTTAGGACACTGAGAAGCTATACTTATCGAGCAGTGTCCAAGTTTCGTCATGCCAGGGACTCGGGTCGGGCCATAGACTGCTGTGACATGCTCGCACCCTAGGAGAAACGTAAAGGCAGGGAGTGGTCCGGGGTGCGGCCCACTGTTCGCTATTAGCTTTTTCAGAATCTTAAGCTGAAGGTTAGAAAATATGTCGTTTGCTTTAGCAGTGTCGGAAATCAAGGGGGTATGGGGGGGGCTCGAGCCCCCCAAATCAACGACCTCGTCGGAAAATTCGGGCTTTTGTCGGATAATTGACAACCGTTTAATGGCTCAAAAGTACTGCAAGAAATCGTTCTGAAATGTATTTTAAGCTAATCTAAGGGGCGTAGTTGCCAAATTTTCTGCTCGCTTCGCTCACAGTTGATACGTATGTTCCCTTTTACCCCAGGGGCCTCGGATTCTACCAAACAAAAGTTATTGATTTCTTAAGGCCCAAAAATATTGTTATATTGTCGGAAAATCGTAGGCCTGAGCCCTCTCCCCTCAAATGAAAGCCTAAATTTCGGCCACTGTGCTTTAGTAATCATTTGCTCTTCTCCTAAATAGTAAGTCATCCATAAAAGCTCATGTTCGATATCATTCTCCCCCAGTTTCCTTAGAGTCTTTACCAAAACTGTATATGATGGAACAATCAATGGGACACTATGCGCTTTTGTCTACGATAAGCTTGGCTAGGCCTAGGCAGCTGCCTTCAAAACAGACAGTCCGAGACAGTCTAAAGAACCACAGCTTGGACAGTATAAACTAATGCATCACAAGTCGATTAGTTTAATTTAAAGAGCATTTGCTAGTGTAAACATTATTTTATGGTATGTTTTACTTTCAGAGTGGATCGTCGCCTTGAGGTTGGTCCAGAGATCATCAGCGACGTGGTCAAAATGCATGTTTGTGTCGGATCTTCTCTCAATCGGCTCTGTGTTTAGCTTGTAACAATGCTTTCTAAAAAGGCTTTCACAATCGTCGGTTTTTCAATAACATTTGTCTTAAAATATAGGTGTGTTCAAATATACTCAAATCATACATTCCTTGAGTCCTTCTGGCATGTCTCGTGCCTTTTGATTTCAAAATCTAAATTTAAATCTGCGATTACCTACAATGAAAAAACGTCTCTCTTTGCACACTTTCTTTGCAAGTTAATGGAGTGACAAAGCCTTAACTGAGTCATTTCACATTGTACGTATAACAGTAATACAATCAGCCACACTCTCTGTGACATCACATTCAAATCATTTTGGAAAGGCACGTGTAATTACGCTATCATTGGGAGTCTGAGGCAAAAATTATATGAACCAGTTACTTTACCTATTCAGTTCTTGAAGGAAGATTTGATTCCATAATTAATCTTAAGTCAGTAATAATGAGTACGAAATGAACTTTGATTAAGGATCATTTGTAAGAAATACCATAATAATCGTATTATGTATTAATAAGAAATACCATAAGATTTATTTAAGAACACGAACCTCAAAATTGGTCAATGTTAAGAATGAAGAGCACCTGTTGACGTAAAAAGCGAACGTCAACTCTATTCTCATCAAGAAATTTTGATGCGAAGTCAGAGATTGTGGAGCATATCCCTGACTGGACATTTTTTTGTAAAGGGAGTTTGATGGGGGTTCGCTGCACATTGAAAATGCCTAGAGCAAGGCGATTAACTGTATGTAAGCTCGTTCCGTGAGGCGATTAATCATAAGTTCCCTTTCAGGGCTTCTGGAGACGCGAAGAAGCAACTTAGGCGCCCCAAGAAAACAACTAAGGAACAATGTCTTTTGTACTTCCTACTCCCCCCACTTTTTACCCTGATCCAGAGTCCCTTTGTTGCATTCTGTCAAAGCATCTCCAAGGCAGAAAAAACTTGTCGAGTTTTTACCTCGAACTCATTAAAACCTTGTTACAATGACTCTCAGAATCCGCCCCCTTTCAGATCGGGGCCCTCGAGACAGCTCTTTCAGCTGGCCTAAATTTTAACAGATTTGCATAAATATACACAAAAGTCTCTACGTGCCTCCTTTCCACCCCAGTGGCCTGGGCCTGCAACCAACACCCTTATGTCCCCTAATGATGGATTACTATCAATGCATCAATCAACATTTTGGCCTTTTATTGTTGGCCTTTTATGTAATACACAAGCAACCATACTTTTGTTTGCTCAAAATTCAAATGGATTTCCCATAAGCTAATAATTGAACCAAGAAACACGACAGACAATTTCAACCTGGTTTGACCTACTTGACAACACGCGAGCTGTCAGACATGTCCTGGAAACGAGATACAAGTGATTGACAAATTGGGATCAGAGAATGTCAATATCAACCTCGCAAGGTCTTAAATTTTTTCAACAGTTTTTGTAAACACAAAATTCTTATGCCATGACAAATATAAACGAAAAACCAGACATAAACGCAAACAGACCCATCACCCGCCGATTTGTTGCAGAAAAATGCCTGGTTGGGACACACAATAGTAAATAAGCTTTAATAGCTTTGAATACGTCTGAAAGAACAATAACATGCACGCCCTTGGACATTCAACAAACACTTATTTGTCACGAGAGTAAAGTCCCTCTTACGTAAGAAAAAATTAAGGGAGCACAGTTGCTACTAACTAACCTCAACCTTGTGATACGGAAAAAGGTTTCAGATCGAGGAATGAAACAGTACAAAATACTACAGTTTAACAATGATGTCTGATAAACTCTTTAGAACTTTGAAAAAGTTGGGATAGTGGAAGCCGGGTGCTCGACCCCCCCCCCTCCCCCCGCCCACCGATTCCCGAAATACATTTACCTTCCATGCCATTAACATTGAGGTATAAAATCAGTATCTTCATTCATAAATAAATAGTGTTTTAACCCCCAGAATCTACCTGCAACATCTTTTGCTACTAGTCGTTATCTTGGCTCCACCCATGCTTTCAGGATGGAACTTTGAGGAATTTCGATCTAAGTCCCCGGTGTTTATGAAGTGCATTCGATCCACAATTGGCCTATTTCGATCCACAACTGGGTATATATTTTCCATCGTGTTGTTTCGGAACCTTATTCTGACGTATTTGTGGAGTGTCAGACGAAAAAGCTTTTAGTATGTCGTAAAAGGTTTGCTTTTTTCAAAGCCATTTTCGTATTATTTTCTTTTGTTTGCGGACCATCCCCATCGAAGTTGAGAGGGCCATAGGATCATTCCCGTCCCATGAAGATTTAAACTTTGTTTCTTGCACTTAATAAAGGAGGACCTCTTTCTCTATCTTGCATTCGAGTTTCAGGCAAGCGCAGTTGTTTGATGTGATTTCACATACAGGACAATTCTCCCAAAACAAAAGTATTTCTATGGATTTATCGGTGAAATGATGGGATTTGCCCCTCGAATATGCATAACCAGCCAAGCTTTCTGGCACAGATTCCCCATTTGCCTACAAAATGCCCCATGGTACAAATTAACTTCTACGTTAGTTCGCACCCATTCGAACAGTGCGGTTTCTTATTCCCAACAAACATCTTCGGTATGATTCATTTGTCGTCACGCGATTGTGTCTCGAACAACTTTTGAATCGCATTGCTCACCTTGCGCGAACAGACATTCTTTAGAAAATCGTTTTTTGGTTAACATGAAAACAGGCTTGATTATTTCATTGTCTTGGTTCTCGTTAAGATAACAGTAAGCCATCCCAAGGCGTCTGTCATCGAACAAATCCTTTACACATCGATTAACCAATCAGAGGCGGGCTTTCCCACGACCGCTCTATTGTGATGAAAATGGCCAACATGGCAGCACGCGCCATTTTGCACATCGACCAATCAAATTCGTCCGCTCCCACGGTTCTTCGTGTGTTGGGATGGCTATTAACAAGCCTTGGAGAATTTTCCCACGCTGGTTCTGGCCAATAGAAATCGTGGCTCGGGCTTTTGGCACGCGCCAAAGCTTTTCAGATATGATCGGGCTTGTTATACAGAGCTGCCCTATGAGCTGAGAGCAAACACCGGGTTTTAATCGAGGCTGTATTTAAGTGTTCTACTTTCGATCTCGCCCTAGTTAGGAGCATCTTTGGAGAGACAGAGAGCAAGGGATTTTATATGTTTTCAATTTAACTTCGAATTTATTTGCTTACACTATGACGATGAATTCACTCGTGGAGAAGCATCCTCTGAGAGAGAAACGAAAGGTAAGTTGGACGAAATTTTTCCACTTTCGATTATTGCAAGAAATTGCCTCTAACCTAGAAATCAAAAGGGCTAAGTGTGAGGTATTTCTGCTTCACGCTGCAAATCAAGAGATATTTTAAAAGAATATACTTTCTCAATAAAATCGTTGGTTATATACTTTGGTTTTCTATCTACAATCCCGAACAAAATTGTTGAGACAAAATGCAATTTTCGCAGTTTTCTACTTTACCTTGCCCCTGTAAATTCAAATCCCCCTCCTCCCCAAAGCAATGTTGGATTTGTAGTTCTATCATTTCTCTTTCAAAATCATGCATTCAACATTGAATTGGGGGAGGGGGGAGTTATTTTTAAAGGAAACAGAAAATAACAACTTTCCTTGAAAAGTCTCGACTATTTTTGTCCGGGATTGTAGCGCATCTCCATTAATGAATCATCAAGAAGATAAAATACTTGCTATCAAGTTAATAATCCTCTTTTGAACTACAAATATGCAACTAATTTCGTCTAATTTATTTGCCTTAACTTAATTTCAATTATCCTAGATATATAATGTTAAAACTTTACCAAGTGCTTTGCATGGATAGTTTAAATTGTTTTATTTTTGTATCAAATTATTAAGTTTGACTCACTCTCAATTTTACACAGCATAATTCACATTATATTTTGATATACAATGTTAAATATTTATTCCACTTTCGTTTCTTGGTTGGGTTGCTGGCTGACTCCCCAAATATTGACTTCTCCCGCAAGCAAAATTATCACGCACGAAAATAATTGAAATTGCTCGTATCTCTTTAAAGAAAATCTTATTGTACCGCAAAGATTTGTGCATTTTTTCAATTCTTTCATCACTCATAATCTTTTGTGGGATGTTGTTCGGACAAAGAAGTCCTTGTCAGTATCTAGTTGCATTAGTGATCAATGCTTCAGTTTTTTCTCATGGGTTTTCTCCCTTTCACTTTTGTCAACCACACAGTGAGTCACAGAAGCCAAACTCTAATTCTGGCCAGCCCAGGCCCGTAGACAGCTTAACTGGATTGGGGGGGAGGGGGCATGGATAGAAATATAGCTTTTTCTATACCTGGCTTACGAATTACTGTCAGATTAAGCTGCGCTTATAAGATCTTCAAACACGATTCTCGCAGATAATTGGGCCTGGCATTGCCCCCCTGCCCCCCAGTGTCCACGGACCTAGACAAGCCTGAGGAGTCGTCAAATCCCAAAGAAAGATATTTTGAAGTTGAGCATCTGTCCTCGGCGATCGGTGGTTGTTGGGCATGTCTCGGCCTGATCGACAGTCGGGGTGATGCCCCCTAGTAACAGGCACCGTGTTTTATTTTAGCACGGCCAAAGCTAGGTGGGAGAAAGTCTTCTGAAATTTTCAACGTTATGAAAATAGTGTTTATTTGTTTAGTTTAGGCGTGAAAGGGGCAAAGAATAGTTCAACCAAGTAAGAAAATCTAGAACAGGGGGCATGACCCCACTATAGCTCCTTGCCATGCCATTATTCCCCTGGGCTGCTCCCCCTTTCTGGATCGTTCCGATAGATTAGATCGTATAAATTAGTTAAAAAACTGCCAGTTCCCTCAAAGGTGCTTCTAGAAAATCAATATTAGAAAAATTATTCTATTTTAGGCCAACAAGCCTCTTCTGGAACGAAAAAGACGAGCACGTATCAACGACTGCCTGGCCGAATTGAAGAACTTGGTGTTGACGTCGTTAAACAAAGATGTAAGTTTATGTTTTTGGCTGAAAACCCCATATTAACGCTGTTATTTTACCAGGGTTTGCCCAGTGGGTTTATTTTAATGGGGCCGGAGAGTCTCCCACTTAGAGTAGTGCATAGAGGCAGGGGAGATGGAGACTGTGCCGTCCAAAGTCACTTCGCTGTATCGACTCACAGATAAAAGAAAATTTTCTTTGTTTGGAGTGAATATGAATTGCATTCCAAATAGAAAAAGCGTAGGGAAAGCCCAATTTTCTTTCTCACACCTGTATGATTGGCGGGCTCCAATGCCTTCTTAGGGGGCCAATTCCCTTTTGTTCTACCACTTATCACGAATTCCTTTGAAACAAAACTTTTGATAAAATCTTCATAAAAGTCCACCGAACTTTCTTTCTTATATCGGATATTACGGTAGTAATTGGGAGAATTTGATTATATCGCATTTTTTAATTGGAAGGAAAGTTATCATTTGCAAATTCTAATTATGTTTAATTATTAGGAAATTTCCTTTTTTTTGTTTTCTGATGTTCTTGATGGGTCTGATTGAAAAACATTTCCGTGCACATGGCACACCATTTAGGCCCATAAAAAGTTCAGATGTTTGCAATTTCCTCATAGATAGGAGCTTCTTTTATTTTAAAGACAACAGACCTAATTTATTGCTTTTTTGGGGAATGAATGAGTTGATTTGGATATGTTTTGTTTGCTGGAAAACGAAGGAAATTCATTTAAAAGCAATTTTGTCGCTTGAAAGAAAAAAAATGATCGTCTAGCGGCAATGCCCATAGATTTGTCCAAGTTTCATTCCATAAATAATTTTTTCTTGGCACATGTGGCAACGAAGGGTGGATGTCTCTGTGGAGGAGCGGAGAGGCGTTGGGAGGAAAGGCATGTTCTGTTGTCGTCTACGCTCGTGCTACTGCCACTGGCATTAGAGTAAAGAGACCTGTTATATAAATGAGCTTATGCAAGTCAACAATTCCGGGTAGAGGGGTAGCAGGTAGTCATACCCTTGCGTCGAATCCCAGACTTTTGTGAATGAACAGCAACAGAACCATGGGCACTCGACTTCTATTTTGTATGGGGGCTTAACGCCGTTTCAATTTTTCATCCATTACTTCGTGGTACTAGACGATTGGAGAGAGCCACTTACCCCTAAGCCACAATCCTTGTACACAGCAAGTTTTGAGTGCTGCCCCCGGGCTCTGATTTCTTGTAATGTCATAATTTTCAGAAGAATACCTCTAGAGCGTCTTTGAAAAAAATGTTACATCTTGTTTGATGATTACATTGTTTGGTTCCTTCAGATTTCAAGATTTAACAAGATGGAGAAAGCAGATGTACTCGACATGACAGTCCAGTATTTAAAAGCCTGCAAAATGAGAAAAGCCAACGGTAATATGTTTTCTCTTTTTCCTTCCATTGCCTCTATTTAATGCACGACCTTCCGAGTAACGTGACCAGACCAGTCACAGGTCGATCAATAGCATCACAGCGCTAGAAACACGATATAGCATGTATGGGTATACACTGCCATTTCATCATGGCTAAACACCTTTAAATGGAACCAAAAACCTCTAATTGTCGTGTCTAAGATAACTGAAAACACTTTTTACTTACTACATTAAAAATGGCTTTGAAAAGAGAAAACATTTCACAACATACTAACTAAAAGCTTTTTTATCCGAACGAACACGATGGTCCGAAGAGAACACTCTCGGACCCCTATTCTGACGTGTTATACTCTGAGGTATGTTGTGAAATGTTTGCTTTTTCAAAGCCATTTTCAAGTTATGCACCGCAAGCAAATTATTTACTTAAGTTAGTGAGCTATTTTTTTGACTGAGTTGCCCAGATATATCCTTCCCCTATCTTGGTATCTAGGATATGCCTTTTATCCCCTTCCCTCTCTTTTTGTAGGCTGTCTTTTGGATTCTTCCAGTGTTAAGGCCTGGGTACTAGTTTCAAATATTACATCATTGATCCAGCTTGCTAAGTCCCAGTTTCCTTTTCATTTTACGTATGAAAGTTGTAGGCAACATTGTTTAAAAATAGGAGCAAAAGGAATTGTTCCCCCACAAGAGCATACGGCCTTATTCTTGATATGTCTTACTAATAAAGTAATTTTCCATTTCAGAGGATAGCGCCGTAAGCTTTCGAGCAGGCTTCAACGAATGTGCAAGCGAAATTATCCATTACATCATGACGTTGGATGATGTAGACAGGGTGACGAAGGCAAAATTGCTATCATACCTCGCGACAAGTTGCAAACTGGCGGAGAGCACGCAAAACCAGACTTTCTTCAGCGGCCAGTCGAGATCAAGCCAGTCAATTACAGCAACGAGCCCTCTCTCGCCATGTCAGTCCCCAAACCAAATCATACCAAGCCCAACCTCGTCTGGCTCGCGAGAAGCAAACAGCCCGTCCGCATTTAGTCCGTTATTTTCGCTAATACCTCGTAGCCCAAACGAAAAAACTACGTTTGTACTAAAGCCAGTGCCAGTACAGACGCCACACTCTGGACACCATACACAAATTGCTCCAAAAATGTCTTCGAATCCACGTGACCTGACAGTCGCTGTGCCGTCGAGTTTCACAGTAAAACCTAAAGTTTGGCGGCCGTGGTAGGCCAGTGGCTGAACAGGACCTGTTTTGTTCTGTTGTGTAAAATTGGATTGCTTCTTTGTAATATTGTAAATAGTAAATTATTTTGTCACCTTAATGTAGATTCAAGGATGTGAATATTATAAATATATATTTTTTGAGTGTATAGAAATAGCTTCGAAGGTAATACTCGATTGCTCCGTTTTGTATTTTTGTAATGGATGCGGACTAGACTGGAAATTTGCGTTCTCTTTGTTATTTAACTCCTTCACTTCAAGACCACCTTGAAAAAAAAACTTTCTTACCCAAAGCTACTGTGAGGAAAGCTACCGTCGAAGAGGGGTCCCTGTGTGACACCAATAAAGTCCGCCTTGCTCTTGGTTTTTACCATTTCCCCCCAAGTGCTTTAGCCCCTTTTTAACTGTAACAGGGGTAGAGAGGCTATCTGTCTTACGTCATTATGCTAACCTTTTGTTAAAGGTAATGTGCCAAGCTAAAGCAAGGAATTGGATAATTTGGGTCGAGGCTCGATAATTCGGATAATTGAGGCTCAAGTATGTTTACTGGGTTTTAGTATGTTTAGCCCCCCCCCCAAAAGAACGTTTTTGCCCCTCCATCTGTAACATGATCCGCGGTCCTTGCACTAGCCTCTTATCAGAGTGCTCTTATCAGCAAGTTTAAAATTTTAAATTTATCAAAAAATACAAGCAAAACAGCAAAATGCGATACTGGATTAGAAAAATTTATTCAGGACGTCTTCAGAAGAGGGAATTCCATCTTTCGGTAATAGAGGTTTACGTCTACATTTATAAGACCAGTATAACTTCTTCAAATACTTCCAAAAGTCGCTATCGAAGCTTGCAAGAGAATGCGAGAGCCTGTTAGTGCATCTGCTTAAAACTGTTGCTGTTGAGCAGGCCAATAAGCAGCCAGCAATTCAGCAGCCAGACATATTGGTAGAACGATGAAACTTTCAAGCCAGTTTTCGTCAATTTGAAATTCAAATGTTTGAATAATAATCTGATATGAATCCACTTTCATGGATTGTGTACGAGGAACAGGAAATGAATAATTACCAACCTATTTCATTGACGTTTTATAGGCGAGAGTGTTTGAAAAAAAGAATACGGAAAGACGTAGGCTATCTGAAACCAAAGCAGAAGTCAGGTGTCTTCAAATGCTGTTCTGATTGGTTCATTTTACAAGGCGAAAAAGTAGGAATGGTTTCTGCTTTTTCGCTCCGAATTCGCAGTGAATTTTCTAATCTCTACTTCTGCGCATATTTTTGCGCATTCGCGGCGAAAAATTCGCTTCGCACGAAAAAAATCGTCAGGATCAGGCTTAAGAATTTGGAATTGTCTAGTTTCCATACTGTTCGACCTGATAGTCATAAATAAGCATGATTAATAGTCATAAATTAGCATGATTAATTATTTCAAGTAAAGAGTAAGGGCTAGGTCTAGGGTTAGGGTAAACTAATTACGTTATCAGGTCGAGCAGTATGGAAACTAGACAGCTCCAAAGAATCTGTCCTGTTTTGCTGTTGATATTATTAATTTGTTCCAGAAACAGGTTGCGTTTGCTTATTAAGTGCATTCTTATAAATAAAAAGAATGTATAGAAGAATCCCTCAACCGCACAAGTCTTTCGACTTTCTTAATGTTTGGGGTCACACTCTGTTCGCAACATAGCATTAGAGTTTGCTACTTTATAGATACCTGGCTTTTGAATCTAAAAAGGGGACATCTGCACTCAAGGTGTCCCCTCTGGCTTTAGCCCTGGATAGATTTTAAGCTAAGTTTGTTTGTCACTTTCGGAGTCCAGAAAGGTTGTCAACTTTCCCATAAAACTTTCCATATTTTTAATGGGTTTAAAATAGACGTGGTGGGAAATTTTTAGGGTACTCAACTAGTCTCGATCCCCTATGTTTACAACTCTGTTTTTCCAAAATATTTTAACAAAATTGAAGCTTGTTGTTTTCAAATCTAGATTTTTTTGGAGACAGTATAAAGCTACATGCATACACTCCCCTCACAAAAGTATTGCACCACCTCGAAGGAGGGAAAATGGCGCAAGAATTATCGAAAACTATTGTTGCGCGAATTGATTGTTTTTATGTGGCGAATGGGAGTGTATATCAATTAATAAAAAATATGTTATAATCTAAATACATATAAATCATGATGTATCTAAATCATAAAATATGAATGCCTAAATTTTTCAGTGCAAAGCAGTTCTGCAAATACATTAATATCTAAAAGACAGACGGCTTATAAATGTTATTTGATTTCTAATTTTTTGTCTGATTGTATTTTGAAAACCAAAAGGCAGTACGAGTTCTTCACCTTCCTCAAAGTATCAAATTTTTGGTCACCTTCCTCAATTTATTTTTGTTCCTAAAACCTTCCTCCAGCTAGTGGCCGTGAGACTGTGATATCTTCATGACTCTATTTATCGACAGCGAGTGATGGTCTTTTTGGAATTTAGTTTCCAAAAAATGTTCATGATTAATTTTAATCAGTCGGTTATCGAATTATTCAACCCCCATATATGCTCAAACTTGCGAACCATAGCATTCTGGTCCCAATCTACAGCTCTTTTAAATGTGTTGTTCCAAGGACAAACCGTTAATTATATGTACCTTTAAAGTGTGTATCTACGACTTTCTGATAAAGAACAGTCAGGATAATTCTGAGCAAACTTGAAGGATGAACACTGCCCCACACCCCCTATCTTGTTGTATTTGTTGTTAAAGCTAACTGTTCAATCAAGAGAGTGAAGAATTATCTTAAAGAAATCCAAGCATATTTACTAGCAGTAGCATAGCCAGGTTGGTAAGATGGGGGGGGGGGACAAAGGCGAAGAGAGAGAGAGGGAAAATAGGGGACACCCCGTTATTTTTGCCATCAGGGCGCTCGTCCTCTCATGTCCCCCCTCACTACCTTTTTGTTCGTCATTTTTCGAACCTTCGAAACAATTTTTCAACAAAAACATGTATCTTGAACAGTCTGTATTTTACGACTGCCAAAGACCTTTAGTCACAAAACAGTTTACCTTGCTAGCAGTTGCACTAGCAGATTCCTCTATTTACTCTGCAAGATTCAAAAAATTTTGAAACTCGAAGGAAATCGCCATACACAAAGATGCCATTGTCTGGTTTCTATGGCGTCCGATTCTCAAACAATGCCGAACCGAAGCGAGTCAAAGATCAGCAACGGTCCCGCAAAATGGCAGACATCATGGGAACTTTCGTGAAAATCATCTCAGTTCTTGTGGCTTTCAGCTTGTTCCTAGGGTCATCAGCTGAAAATCTAGCTTTGAAAAGGCCTATAGAAGCAAATTTCACATGTGGCAGCCCGCCAGAAATTTATTACAAGACATGGCAAGGTTTGTACCAACGATTTGATGGCTTGTTTACTTAGGCCTGTGTAGGCCATTTCTATCTCTCTAAGGTCCAAGATCAGATTGCTTTGCTGAATAAACAGTGCAAAAGTAATGCAAGACTTTCAACTACATCTAAATCTTTTTTCTGGTTCTTAAAATATGTGTAGAATTGTTTGCAACTTTGTTTGCGGGGAGAAACGTGAATCTTGAAAGAACTGTTTCTGCACTTGGGTTTTTTAACGCATCTTACAGATTTAGGGTCCTTCTTTGGGTTTCTTCTTCAATGGATTTTAAATTTGTTTCAAAATGGTGGTATTTGCACTGCAGATATGTATAAATATGAGGTTCCATAAGGGCTAGACCCATTCTTTGCTTCTTTCTTCGTTAATGATTTAGGCACCGTTCGTCTTAGGTTTTTTTGCCTATCTATTTGCTGATGATACACGCCTTAAAATAAAATCTATTTTCTGTGGGAACTGGGAATAATACGGAGCTTGGCAACATCGCATATTGAACCCATTAAAGTATGAAAAGTGCCCAGAAGATTTTCAAGTATGATTAAAAATAGCACAGATAGTATGCAAAGTTGAAACAATAATGCACATATAAGTATAATTAGTGATCTAAAAGTCATCAATTGTTGTAAATAGCATGGATGAAATTTAATTGCACTGGGGTTAATCAAATGTCAAACTTTCCAAGTAGCCAGCTATTATAAATAAACAAAATAACCCAATTTTCAAATTTTTCCTTTAAAAAAAGATCAAACCAAAGTGTGGACATTTCAGTAAACAACAAAAACTAACTAATGTATCCCCCAATCGTGATTGGAGATAGGATAAAACAACATGTTCCTTCTAACATAAAAAAATTGCCCCTCTAAGAGAACAGCCTACTCGATCTTGTAGGTCTAGAAACACTGTTAAAACAAGTGATTCTGCCATCGGTTAACATTATTTAGACAACCCAGATTGTGCAAAACTCTATAATGACAACATGTTCGGTTAATTGGCAGAACCTGGTTGTCTTTCCATCTAGCAGTTTTGGAATCAATCTACATACAAATGAAAATACCACCATTGTGTAGACAGAAGAAGTTTGTTTTCTCTCTTGGACTCCAGTGGTAATTTTTCTTTAGGCACATGGCACTAATTGGACAACTAAACCGCTCTTGAGCTTGCGTTTTTCTCATTGGCCTATTTCAATCCACAACTGGGTATATATTTTTCACCATGTTCTTTTGGACCCTTATTCTGACAGTTTATGCTCTGAGGAGTGTCAGATGAAAAAGCATTTAGCCAAATATGTTGTAAAATGTTTGCTTTTTTCAAAGCCATAAACATATGAGAGTTTGTTTGGTGGTATTATGAATCAATATAAGAGACAAATCAGATGAAAGCATCATTTTTAACAGCATTCTTTGCCATGCTCTGTTGATTTCAAAATAACAAAGGCTTCATTCCATATTTGCTTTTTTTATTTTCAAAAACACTCTCTTTTTCTTAAAAACATTTCCCTTTTCTGAAAGAAATGTGTCTGTTTCCTGAAAGATTTTTCTTCTTCCTATCTATACCCCTTAAACTTGCTTCAGACATCTTTACCCCTTTAGTGTGACGTAAATTTATTTGTAGCTTATAGGGAAGCATTGAAAGATCAGTTTTTTAAAAATATGAATCTTTATTGCTATTTTCTTAGTTGGTAGTGATTTTAATCTCAGTTTGATCTCTTGTTTTGCTCAGATCAATACAGACCTAACAAGAGAAGGCAATTCACCTGCAATGCCAGTGACGCTATTGATTCCCATCCTCCAAGCAGGATGGTTGATGCAAACTTTGACACATACTGGCAATCAAAGGCAGGCATGGAGATCACTAACATTACTATTGATCTAAGATCTGAAACCCAAAAGGTATTTTGTGTTACGTATTATTCACAATTTGAGGCACCAGGCACTGATGATTTAGGCCACACCCTTTTTTACTGCTAGAAAATGCCCTGCTACCAACAAAGAACCCCAATTCTACCTGGAAAGAACACCTATGAGTAACTTTTGGTTGAATAAATGCTGTTTCCAAATAATAGGATTACATCACAAAAAGTATGTTGTCAAAATATTACACCTCCACAATATTTTCTCATGGTAATTAGACGAAATGCAAAATTGATCCTGCTGAAAAGTTAGGGCCCTTTTTTAAAATATTTACAGTGTTGGCCAAATCTTGTTTATTTAAACTTTAAATGATTTGCAACATTATTGCCCTCTATGAGAGTTAGATTTCTTTGGCACTGACCATTCATTCTGCATATTTGTCTTTCATTTTGGATTAATATGTTCAGTTTAAGCTCTTTTGTGTTTGAATAGAATATACACCTGGTTTTGGTATTTTCGCATTATGTGGTTGTTTCTTATATTTTTCAAATGAATTCAGTTCTGTGAATGATGTTGATACGAAAATAATTTTCTAATTACAGTCATTCTTTGTTACATTTAGTTTATATTTGTGAGGACTATCAATATCACATTTGAAGCCTACCAAAGACCAGGACAAATATTATACTTAAAGTCAAGTGATGGAGGAGTGACATTCACACCATGGCACCGCTATGTGTCTTTCCCATTTGAGTGTCAATCAGTATTTGGTGTGACTTTTGCTGAGCGACCGTTTCTTGTCAAATCTGTACTGTGCAAAAATTATTTGGAGCTCCTGCCAAGCAAAGGAAACCAGTCGGTAAGAAAACGTTTGGTTGCCTTGAAACTCTTTGGCGTGTGTCACCAGGGCCTGCATCAAAGGGGGACCATGGCCGTCCCACTTTTTCGCTAAATAAAACATCGAAATCAGCGATAACCTGTAGAATGCAACAAACACGTTGAACCCTGTATAAATATTTCTATTATTATTATTATTATTTTTATTATTATATTTATTATTAAACCCTCCTTCACGTTGTTGCTGGCTGCAAAACATACCTGGAACAAGGCCGATACACCTGGCGTCATAACTCTATCTTAAACTTTCTAGCTACGTCTCTTAAAGCTGTTAATGAATCTACCATCTACGCTGATATACCTGGCTATCTTTCACCATCAATCATAACTGGAGAAAACCTTCGCCCAGATCTTCTCTTGAAGACTAACAACAATTACCTATACATCTTAGAGCTTACTTGGTTTTGAATCCAATCTTGACACAAATGCAACAAGAAAACACAGCAAGTATGCTCCTCTCCTATCTGACTTACAGCGAAAGTTCAAATGTGTCTCTTTTGTGAATCTTTCTATGAGCTCTCTTGGCATCTTTGGCAATTCCTGCATCTCTTTCTTCAAAATGTGTGACTCTCTCTCCATCGATCAACAACAAAAACGGTATCTCATCTCTAAACTTTCCAAAATTGCCATTCGTACTACGTACTACATATTTTGTTGCAAAAATAAACCATGGACAAATCCGGAATTACATCCGTTTTAATTTTGGTTGTTTTATTTTTCTCAGTTTTTTCTTTTACCTTACGATTGTTATAGTTTTTTCTTGTAAAACCAGGCTAGCCAATTGCAAATTACCTTGTAATAGTGAGATTTGTAATTGTAGTTTAAGTTGAATTGAAAATGAAATGTTTCCATTATTATTAATCACAGGCGACTCCTATCGACCAGATCTTGTCTTCGTAACTGAAGATCGAATCCTTTACATACTAGAGCTTACTGTTGGGTTCGAAAGCAACATCGACGAAAACAGTACTCGAAAAGCTAGGAAATATAGCGATCTTATCAAGGAACTGAGCCCTGCCTATAAACGTGTTACCTTTGTTAACCTTTCTATGAGTGCCCTTGGCATTCTTGGAACCTCATCTACCTCTCTCTCCGTCATGCTACATCAACTCAATTTTGACTCAAATCAAACTAAATCCATCTTGATGAAACTCATGAACATTTCTATCCGCTGCACCTACTCTATTTTCTGTCGTCGAAACAAACCATGGCTAAGCCCCGAACTAATTGACTTTTAAATATTGTAATGCAGATAAGCCAATTATATGATGCCTGTAAAAGCGAGTCGTATAATTGTAAATGTAAAATGTATTCAATGAAAATGAGATGTTTAAAAAAAAAATTAGTAACTCCAATTTAAAACAGCGTTAGCAAAACCTTTACCACAAAGGGGCGGGGGGGGGTGTTGGGGCGTAAAAGGACGGTTTCTTCACGTTACTGGCCCCTCCAGTCACGGGCCCTGTGCGTAAAGCGAATATTGCCTTCCTTCACCATCTAATTTTTAAGTTTTTTCAAGATGCTGTCAGGGATTTTGCCATGCTTTTAAACATTTTCATAAGAAACAACACCATGATTTATGAAAACACAGTGTCATGGTGTTTGTCGTTATCTGTACTTTGCCATCAAGATTTTCAAAGTGAATAGGGCCCCCGGTTGAACTCAGTTGTTCAGGGATGTTGCTTGAAAAAGTATAAGAATGCTCTCGCGAAAATATCTCAAAAATGAACAAAGTGAAATGAAAAACTGAAGTGAAACAAAATGAAAAAATGACCACCCCCTCCCAACCCCCTCCCCCCAACCTAAATTTCCCCAGTGATGTAAAATGCTAATCATTATTACATAGAACAGTTATCAGGGGGCAATGACGTTTACAGTTAAATTTTGTTTTTGCATTCCAGGTTTTTGTTGATCTTTATGGTGGACGGTCTTCAACAAATAGCCCACAATTACAGGTAATATGTTCAGGGCATTACGGATTTTTCTTCCGTGTCATATATTACAAGCAGCATACCAGGTACAGAAATACTGTTGCGTAGAAATCTTTTTATATAATGTGAAAAATTTTCTTGCCAGTTAGTTATCCCTTGGAGCAGTGTCCCTCAAGCGTTTATGTCGATTTAAGATGACTGATCACAGTAAAATGAAAATAAACAATCGAGAAGATTTCCTATCTCTTCATTTATCTGTTGGCTAATGGCTTTGTGAAAACTATTTAATGAATTCGTTGTGCAAGTGGCTGAATTCATGGGAAAGCATCGGGAACTAAATGCTATCCAGACCAGACCTTTAAACCAATACCACAGTAATTTAATATATAATCTATAAAAACAGCACAAGGTTCCACAAGCTCGGCTTCTGGGTCCAATCCTTCTTATCTTTATGTTTTTCCTCTAATGAACGCTCTGGTGTCACAGAAAAAGACTATATATCTGGAATTTAATAAAAGTTTTTGTTCTCGGCGTTGGACTGGTTTTCAATCCTATTGTCTTGCCTTGACCAAGCTGAGCATAGCATAGATGCCGAATTTTTTAGGGGAAGTGCTAAAGATTGCGTCTATCTCAGTAGTTGTAAAATAGGAGTGTGAGGTTTTCTCCCTATACGAGCTTATTTGAGTAGCATATTTATGTATTTTCTTTATGACTATTATTGGGAAATTTCTTATTCATATTTTATTAATGGAGCTCAGAACTATTATTTTGAAACATTTTTGTCTTTCGTTTTCAGGAATGGCTTAATGCAACTCACATCCGAATGCGTTTTTCTGGACTCTTTAAAAAATTTGACATCTTTTCTAAAAACTGGGTTTGTATCATATATATTTTATATCTTTTGAGTTTTTACGATGTTATAACGAATGCTAAGGCATCTTCGGGTTATTCCTGTTTCAAGTGCATCACAACTTAATCTTGAAATCTTAGGTATTCTTTGAATACCTTGAATGCCAATTTACTACGTCACTGCTTATATATTTCTAAATAGCTTTGAAAAAAGCAAACATGATTGGGCAACCCCAACAGTCATGTGCTCGCGTTTCTGATTGGCCTTTTTCGATCCACAACTGGGTATATATATTTCCTAGCGTAGAGTTTTCGATCTATGTTCCAACGTTTTAAACTCTGAAGAGTGTCAGACGAAAAGCTTCAGTTTACTCAGATGTTTGCTCTTTTCAAAGCCATTTTCAAGTTTTGTACCACCAAAAGATTGTTTACATATTTCTACTAATTACATATTTCTATTGTATGTTTAACACCTAATGTGGATATGCTTTTCTGTTGTGTTGTTTATTCGCATATTTTGCTGTTTGGGTTCGTTTTAGTAAATTCCTACCGACCAATGAATATTTTGCCGATCTTCATGAGAAGGGGATGTTCGTTGGCAGTATTCCCCAGGGCAAACCCCCGATACCCCCAACGCAATCTCAAATAACATCATCACAGTCATGCATCAGTGTCTTCTTTTTTTTCATGGGGAGGGGGGGGGGGGTGTAGGAATGAATAAAAGTTTAATCAAATTTTCAAGCGTGATTAAGCCACAGTTTATAGAAAAAATTATGATCTTCTTCGTAATTGTCTAGTCCCCGGTGCACCGTCTGAATGCATGATAATGTCTATTTCAGCATCATTACGCTGTTCGAGAGATCAAAGTCACTGGCTCCTGTTTCTGCAATGGCCATGCTTCGGGATGCACCATTAACTCAACAACTGGTGCAAGGTCCTGCCAATGCCGCAATAATGCTTGTGGCCCATTATGTGACAGGTGCTGTCCAGCCTTTAACCAGTATCCATGGAAACAGGGAACAGGGGCGCCTTTTGAAGTTGA